CTATATATAAGTACACTTTTACAAATATTTTTTAGAATCTATATTTATAAAGGCTATTTATGTTATTTGTTTCTTAGTTACACATGCCTATTTTCTAATTAACCCTAAGGTTGACTGGGAGAGAATGTCATATGTCATCAATGTCCGCCTTATGTACTATCACTTGTTTCTGTGTACATTAAAGTTTAAATAAATACTTAAAAAAATAACTTTTTCTGCATTTTTTCTTCTTAAATTATGATACTGAAATGGGAATTGATTATGAGAATTTATCATAATTCTCTTAATACATTTTTTTTTTTTGGTAGATCCGATAAAGTGTTTCTATAAGTATATACAAGGGCTTTCTACGCCATGTAAAAGTAAACGCATTCTTCTCATGCACTACTTACAAAATACTTGGCATGTGCGATTGGGATGTATAAAATGCCAAATCCCAATACAAAAATACATGTAAATAATTCCAACTTATCACCCAGCCACCTTAACACCCACACGAGAGCAAATATTTGAAGGCATCTTGAATGGGCCTTTCAAAAAAATCTCTCTATTATTTATTCCCAAATTTTCAAGAGTTTTCCCTAAGCTGGTTTAACTGTTAATCTCGGCTTAAAGTCAGTGAAATCATCTCAAATTCCCAGTTCATTAAACAAATGAAGGGATGGAATCGAAGCATTGATTGTTGGACTCTTTGGGAGCCTTAGGGACCCTCAATTTTGGAAACAATGACAATATTTATTGGTCCGTTCCACTGGCAAAGGGAAATGACACGCTATCGTTCGCGTGCGGTTTGATGAATGTGAGGAAATAAGGGTCGGCAGATATTAAATTTTATTTACTTTGTGTCCTATTTTGTTTTGATTTCGGGGCGGGAATTATAGGGGAGTTCCAGTTATGGATGTTTAGAAATATTGGGTCGATGGTGTTTGGATTGGGTATAAGCCTGAGTATTGTTAGAGTTTGGTATATTCCCTGACTTTGCGCGCTACTATAGCTAGAAAACTATAGTTTTTACCAATAAAGTAGTCTGAAATTTTTCTTAAACGAATTATTCATCGATTTTATTAACGTCAACCTTCCTTCTCGCTTATAACGGTCTAATAAACGTGTATTCTAAAATCCCAAGCAAATGGTTCTTGATTTTTGTATCCTTTAAGGCTTAATTGGGTTTTCCAATCTCAAAATTCTCAGTAGCCAGGCTTTGTGGGCGAAAGAAGTCAAAAGTCTTACCCTCTGTTAAATGAAGCTAATAAATTGTGGCAAAGAGTGGGTGTTCACACACCTACATTAGCACACGCGAATGTAATACATAATTGCTTGAATGGATTTAATTTTACCAATTTCATTCCTGACCTTGAAACAAATTTTGCATAATTTTGAAACATGGAGTATGTAAACTGTAACTTCACATATATCTTCATCATCTGCAGTGTCTTTTGACCTCTTCTTAAGCAAGGAATGAGCATTATCACCGTGTCTGCCTTACCCATACATCCCCAAGCGGTCACCGGTGACCGCTCACCACTAACTACATTATAGACTTTATTTCCAATGTTTAGAGACTTCCTTTGTATGAACAAATTTAGAAGATGAATTTCAATGGGTTAACTTACAATTGGTAATGAAAAAAATAAGTTTGCTCGCGGTGTTTTCTTTTACATAATATAAGAAAAGTCAAATAACGGAGGGTAAAAGTCAAATCAGTTTCCAGGTTCAGCACCAACACTCTCAAGCCTGAGAAGCACGTTCCTTACATCTGCACCACCATGAACAGAATATGAGTAAAATGAGTCAAAATTTACACCAAATTTTGAAATATGAACAATAGAAAATGAAATTTTACCTACGTCTTGAGAGATTCAATCAAAAATCTCTCGTGGTTCCGATGGCTTGTCGCTCCAGACCTCAATATTTCATTACGGAATGTAGGACATTCCATCCATGCTGCATAACACTTGTGACTTATAATATGAAATATCTGTCTGTCTTTCGCTTACGTCATCGTCTATATGGGTTGGTATTACTTTTGTGGTATATTTTATTATAATACTTTGATAATATTCTTATTAGAAGTTTGTTGCAACACTATAGTTAAGTCTTGAGTTTAGTAGTAGACGGATCACCTGTTAGCCTGATAGCAATTGGCGTCGCCCATTGACACCTGGAACACGTACGTTACAGAAGTGTTACAAGTAAGTTACCATATTATGGTATTTTATTCATGTTAAAGGCATTCAAGGATTTGAAAGATTGGGGAAGGGGTTGGTGATTGGGCCTCCGGTGACCTCACTCACACGACGAGTTACTTTACGTCGTTAAAAAAAACAATTTATAAAGGGTACGAAATTTTGTCATTACTCCAAGTACTTACCATATTATGACAATGTTTTAGTCTTGTTTTTGGTTAATATTTCGGTTAACTCGTCGAGTACCGTCGTTATAGACACAATTATAGAACAATAGGTTGCGGTCACCGGTGACCGTTTGGCGTTTGACAGTGTAGTTTTTAAGTATATGTTATTTTCAATCTGACTGAGATAAGAAAAAATAAATACGATCTAACATCCTTTATATTTTTCGATACGATCATTTATCTTGTATTTTGACTAAAGAAAACGTAAATTTCAAGCAAATTACGTCACTCTAAAATCATTTTCAATTTCATGTTTCTCGATAATAATATAATAACATTGACTTGGGAAGTGCCAAAACAAAACGTTATTATAATATTTTGTCGCCTTATAAAAACATATTGGCAGGCTTTTAAGCTCTGCAAAGCGGTTTATTGGAGAATTACGTAGGTATTTAATTTTTTCCGCACTTCGTGTAAAAAGGGATTCCGCTTTTGTTTTTCATTTTTCCGATAAAATATATTTTATGACATAAAAATCAAATTAATAGAGACTAAAACGTATCTAAAAGCCTGTTATTTATTTTTCCTTTGTAGTCTTTATTTTTCGTAGTATTGCCTATGAAAATAAAAACTATTAAAAATAGCACTTCAGTGCAATCGCTTTTAAAATATTATGGTACTGCTACTATTCTTTTAAAATAGCATGCTAAAGAGTTTTTTATTAGGCATGCTCAAAAATGTTCAAAAATCGAAGGCTTGTCGATTCACAAGCATGTCCGAAATGAGTTATTGAGTATGCTAATTTTGAGCAATATTCCGACACACATGCTACTAAGCCACACGTGCACAATTAAAGAAGCATGCTTTCTTTCTTGACATTCGCATGTGTAAGAGTACCTTTAGTATATCTTTTTACACAATTTATTTTCTAATAAGCACTACAAGGCTAAGATAGGATAGTGTGTTATCTTGTAAATCCAAAATAATGGGTTAATTTTTTAAATAACCGTGTGTGACCGGATCGATATTGTAACCCGGGTGAATGAACTTTTGTGTAATCAGAATTGAATAAACAAAATGAAAAACAATGATACATTTCAATGCGTCGCGAAGTAAAATAATGAGAAGAAGTTTCAAATTAAAACAATTTACATCGGTGACAATATGACTTATAAATCTTTAGGATCTAACTTGTATTATAACTTAATATAAAATCACGCCTTTTATTCCCGAAGGGGTAGGCAGAGAGGTGCACATTACGGCACTTAAACTGTACAATATAACACCCACTTTTCACTATTTATGTTATGGTTATGAATAGGGGGTGAGCCTATGTCCATATACAGGGCACAGTTCCAGACTCCGTGCTACTTAACTAAAAATCACGGATTAATCACGTGAAAATACTGAGAAAAGTTCTACTAGTTTCGACTGGTTGCTACTGCCAGTAGGTAGAATAGGCTGCGTGACATCGCCGCGACCGCGCACGCTGCCCATGAGGAAGAACCCCTTTGTGGTTCGAAACTAGTAGAGCTTTTCTCAGTATATTCACGTGAGTAACCCGCGATTTTTAGTTAATTTAGTATATCATCCGTGCTACTTCTCAGATTTTTTTAAAAACCTAGTAATACTAGCTGGACCCGGAAATCGACGCCGAGACTCTTTGCCCAGCAGTCTCACATGCGACCACTCAGCGAATGAGGCAGCAATATAACTTGTACTATGTCTAAACTTTGAGTAAACTTACATAAAGCAGTAACAGAAATACATTATTAATGGGAATGTTATCTTTCTTACAGTTCATGAAATAAAGGCTAATAACAATGGTTGTACAGTCATCCATAACTAAGACTTCGCTATTTATCTATTTTAACCCTTAAATATTTTCTGATTCAGTTTATTTTAATTTGAACGGTCCTTCTGCACTTACTTTCATTATAGTAACAACACAACCTCCTGATTAATTTTGAATCGATTCTGTAATGTAGGGTTACCTGATACTTACTTTGTTTATAATCGAGACAATTTTAATTAATTTGTTAATTAACAAAATTGTTTTGATCTAGTCTTTAAGAAAATGAGACGAAGAATTTTAATTAAAAAATGTACTTTCTTGTAATCGTTTAGTAGAAAGCCCTTGAAGTTTCGAGAGCAAATTTTGTTTTGGTAACTAATTTGGAATTGGAGAATATTTGTTTATTTACCAAGAAAAGATCTTCAAGAAATGCTATGTAAGCAGATGATAAGTGCCCACTGCTGACCAAAGGTCTCTTTTCGCATGGTTTGAGCATTACACCACGCTTGCTCAATGTGAGTTGGCAATTTCCAACTTATTATTACAAATTAAAAGCTCAGGTTTCCTCACGATGTCTTTACTTCGCCGTTTGTCAATGGTGTCTAAATAATCTTAGAAAGTACATATAACTCGGAAAAAGTTACATTAGTGCTTGCTGTTGGTTTTGAACCTGCCCTCTTGCCCCAAAATATAAAAAATTGACAAAAAATTTAATATTACGTGTAATGTTAAACTGTTTTCCTGTCGCACAACGAACTATATATAATATTACAAAATCCTGTCAACCCTACCAAACATTATTGTAACCAAGCCATTGAACCATAATTATAATCAAATTATCCATTGTTTCAGATTTTGGCAGAGACGCGCGAAAGGTGAGTTGCTAATTAAAATTAACAATTTATATAATAAAACGAATATTCATACATTTATATATAATTCAATGAATATTCATATATTTTTTTTAAATTACGTTTGTTATTTTCCTCCTTGCATTAAGGCGTGAATTAATTTCTTGTTTATAATTTTTTGGTATACTCGAAAATCTATCTTAGCTGATGCCGATACGGAGCCGTGGAGACCGTAAAATGTTGACGGGGCTGCGGCTTATAGTGCAAGAATAGGAACGGGGTGGTTTTTAGTTAGCAAGAGTCTGATACTCCCTCCTGCCTCACCCAGGCGGGAGAAGTCATTCGAGGACTTTCCCTTAAAAAAGACCCCAGAGGTAGACTTATTAGCAGACATATAATGCACTTTACTATAATGTCCATAAAATGTAGTTTTCTTTGTTTTCAGCAATAACATAGGGCCCTTTATAGCTTAATTTAGTTAGTAAGTTTCATTTAATTATGTATGTGGTTTGCCACCAAACAAAGTATGTTAAGTACCTAGGTAATAAGCCTAGCCTTATTAGGGCTTTTGCCCTATACGGAATCGCGGAAGGCTAAATGGGTTGCCGGGACTCTGGCTTGAAGAGCAGTAGTAGGAACGGGGTTGTTTTTAGTCAGTAAGAGTGCCACTTGAGTGACACTTAGCCCAAGGCGGGAGAAGGTATTGTATATTTTTTCCCCCTCAAAAAATATATAGCCTTATTCTCTCTAGTCCTTATCGTAAACTATTTAGGGGCAGTACAATTATACCTACACAGGTAACTTCTGACAGTAAAAGGATAAAGATTTTGTTTTAATCTATTGGTATTAAAGAAGACTTTTACTTTTTTCCTTTTTTTATATGATAAGCCAATAAACGAGCAGACGGATCACCTGATGGTAAGCAATCGGCGTCGCCCGTAGACACCCGAAACACCAATGGCATAATAAGTGCGTTACTAGTGTTTTGGGGATTAGGAATTTGAGAATTGTTAGGAATTCAGGGATTAGGGAGATTGGGAAGGGGGTAATAGGGCTTCTGGTAACCTCATTCACTCGACGAAACATAACGCAAACGTTGTTTCACGTCGCCATGGCCATTCAGGCTAAAATCATTAAATCAATTACAATATTTTTATCCTGTGCACGTTCAGCCTCACCTGTTTATGGCCTTAATATTAATATACTCTTCGTCTTATAATATATTTTTATGTGTATTTGGCGATAAGAAAAATTCAAGGCACGTACAAAGGTTGATAGGCTCCTAACCTTTAATCTAGAAAGTTCCACCTGATTCAGTTTAATGTTAGAAAATTGTTTAAGAAGTACTATAAAAGTTTATATATAAAAATGTGAGTTTTAGAGATAAGCGATTTCGTAGATTACTTATACAATCATCTAACAATGAATAAAAATTATTATTTATAAGTTACTTTTAAAACGAAACGAAAAAAAATGTAACTCCCTCTTTTGTTGAAGACGGTTATTTATTATAATAAAGATTTGGAGAATGCCATTCAATTACAATATTATGTTTAAACTAAAAAGCCAGATCTTCAAAGACATTTCCAAATAAAGAAAGTGTAGGGAAACCAACCTTATTACAACAGCTGAAGGCTCTACTACTACTTTTGAAATATCAGCAACGACACAATACACTACTTACCTACAAATATCTAGAAGGAGCCAGAACAACAAAACCGCACATACCACATACAAGCTTGCAAACACACGTTACTTGCAGTGACCACACTTTGTGGCTTGTAAGTGCTTGCAAGATACTTACACTGAAGTATGAAAGCAGCTTTAGGCTTTGTTATTCTAGTATACTCGTTCCTAGTTAATAGATACAACATAAAGTCGTAGTGGAAATGATGTGATGTTAAAAGCGATTTATTATTATACAGTTTTTTTAAGGGTGGAAAAGCATCTGACGACTTTACTGCTATAGGTGAGCCCCTCTCACCTGTAGTGTCAGACTTTTATTGAACCGGGACCTCGGTAACCCGTAAGATCGTCCGCAGCCTACAAATTACAGAGAAAAAAATTGTGACATTAAATCCCCTTAAACTGCCAAACACCGACGTAATTTGCTTGTAATTTACATTTTCGTTAGTCAAATACAAAATAAATGATCGTATCAAAAAATATAAAGGATGTTAGATCGTATTTATTTTTTCTTATCTCAGTCAGATTGAAAATAACATATACTTAAAAACTACACTGTCAAACGCCAAACGGTCACCGGTGACCGCAACCTATTGTTCTATAATTGTGTCTATAATGACGGTACTCGACGAGTTAATCATAAGCAATTTTCAATTTACTTATAAAACAAAATTTGTTTTAATTTTTTTTTATAAACTTTGCCCCACACTAGGGTTTTATCCTGTGTCGTGGGTGCGTTTACAAACGTACAAGTTCACATACACATAACACTCAGACCCGGAACAACAATCTATGGATCACACAAAGAATTGCCACCTCACCAACCGTCAAAGTGATTCTCATTTCATCGTTGTTTTACGATGATTAGTTCAAAAGAAAACAACTGGAATTCACACAGATAATCTTAAAACCGCAAGACCAATTCTGACATTCTAATAATCTGTTAAATGGCTAGTAAAATTATAAATAGATCAGTTTGGTAAACACCTGGCTTTTATAGGCTATTAAGTCGTGAACTAGGAGCAGAAATTAGTCATATTTTACTACTAGGAAACGTAGGGTTAGGTGCGATTTTTGGCATGAGGTTCAAAGCTGGACTATCAGTTAGAGAAACACATAACTTGGTTGATGCAACTCAATAAGACATCACGTTACGTCACCTTTTGAGCAAGCAATCAGTTTGGCATACTGTAAAATCAACATTTTGCCAGTATGAATGCTACGAGTATGAGGCCAATGAAATAAGGGATGAGAAAAGGTGTAATAGCAGACACAATCTTCTCCGTAGTTCTATAATAATTGTAGAAAAAGTTAAAGTTTGCAGTACTTTCCGACCTGGGAGGTCAGCCTGAGCCGCCCATCATTAAGCAGACAATACATGAAGTACTAGCTCTGCAAATGCATTTCTGATTACCAATACTGCTTCTACCACGCACGACGCACTTTATTCGTCCATTAAAAAAACGATCAAATAAACAACAGCTTTCCTATACATATATAAAATTAGCTACATACAATAGATATGCCATCAAAATCGTTTGTGATACCGCCAGCTAAATTGTCAATCACAATGATTACTTGACAGCTAAAGTTCATAGCATTTTGAGCCTTATAATTGTCCAATTACGTATATTTCGACATCAATTTGTCCAATTCGTGATGTTTACGACTTTAGTCATTAAGTTTATGGCCTATAGCGTGTGAATGACGCTTCAAATAGCTGTATTTATATCATAGCTTTAGAAAATTTTGATTGATGCATTTAAAGTGATTTTTGTATCATTTTTAACATTATTAGTTTAGTGCATGTTAATACTTATGTATCCAAATTATAACATTATTGTTGTGCCTATTGCCATATACCGGGCACAATTCCAGATTCCGTGCTACTACTGAGACGTTTTTTAAAAACCCATTAATACTTTGCCCGACCCGGGAATCGACCCCAAGACCCCTTGCCCGGCAGTCGGACTTGCGACCACTCGGCTAACGAAGCAGTCTGAATTATAAGTTATTCATCATCTCTGTCACATCGGCCGCACGACAACCGCTGCTAAACATAGACCGCCAATGACTACCAAATCAGCCGGTTAAAAGTCCAATCTATCCAACAGCTTCTTACACTAAGTTTTTAAGCAGAAAACTCAATAATCCTTTGACCGACCAGATGAATTTAAACCATAATCTGCTCTCAAGTTAACTTATCGATTATCAGAATTGACACCATTCCTTAGGCTCTATAACTTGCGGTGAGATCTACTGAATAGTTTAAACTTGTGGTTACTGCGGTCTGTTAACTAATAACCGGGCTAAATATCTAACGGATACATGTGAAATACTTTCAAGTTAATTGACAGTTGCGGCTTCAGTTAAACCTTTGGTAAAACATTTAATCTAGGCAGTGTCCAAAAACATCAGCATTCTATGACAATTCATAGCTAAACTATAAGGTCAAGATATAAGGCTGCTATATATATGCCTATGCTATATAAGAAGGCTACTGAAGTCGTGGTGGCCCGGAAGTTTAAGACGCTCGCTTTTCATGCATGAGGATGCGGGTTCGAAACCTACCAACGGCAAGTACCAATGTGACCTTTTCCGAGTTATTTGTACTTTCTAAAATTATCTAGACACCACTGACAAACGGTTAAGAAAAGACGTCGTAAGGAAACCTGGGCTTATAATTTCTAATTATAAGTTTGTAATCGCCAACCCGCATTGAGCAGGCGTGGTGACTGGTGATTAATGGTCAAACCTTCTCAGTGTGAGAAGCTTTGCTCAGCAGTGGGCATTTATAAGATGTTGATGATGATGATAAGGGTGCTATCCGGTCTCTGTCAAATGTATTGTTCCCTTAATTGACTGTTATGATGTTACGACACCTGCGAGAAGAATAGGGACCACCCCGAATCCTCGTTCGGTAGTTAGTTCGGTAATAAATGAAAATTAACGAAAATGAAATCACTTCTTTTTTTAATTATTGCCCCACATTAGGATTTTCTTCTGTGTCGTGGGTGCGTTTACAAACATACAAGTTCACATACACATGACACCTAGACCTGGAAGAACAATCTGTGGATCGAACCCCGTTGCGCGACAGCCAGTTGCCCAGCCACCGCGGCAACCGTGCAGGCATTTTATCATTTGTCAATCATTCAAACAACTTTACATAATCGTCCATCCGTGAATAATTTGCCTTGTAGCATACAAATTCATATAAGTAAAGAGTAACTAAGTAGATTTATATAAATTCAAGCACAAAGCGCTTCGCATCAACCTTCCTTGGGCGTACTCCCAAGGAGTGGAATTCGTTTTCAACGCCCGAGTGAATAGGTTGC